GTATTTCTCGAAATTACCGTTATATGGGATGTGGGCGTGGTTATTGTCCGAATTTTAAAATTTTCGGCCATTTAGTATGCTGTATCAGGGCCAACAACAGTGCCAAGTTTGGAAGAAATTTGTGCAGTGGTTACCAAGATATACACATGTAACCATAAGTGGGCGTGGCTACGCCCATTTTCCAAAAATTTATAATATTCTTATTTTTCGTCTGAAAATTATTGCAAATATCAATTTTGAGTTAATTATCTTCAGTAGTTACTAAAATATCGCATTTTTTTTTTTTTAGTATTTCTGGAAATTACCGTTATATGGGAAGTGGGCGTGGTTACTGTCCGATTTCGCCCATTTTCAATACCAACCTACCTTGGATTAACAGAAACCTACATACCAAATTTCGTTGAGATATCTCAATTTTTGCTCGAGTTATCGTGTACACGCACGGACGGACGGACGGCCAGACAGACAGACAGACAGACATGGCTTAATCGATTTCTTTTTTCATCCTGATCATTTATGTATACATTTGTCTATATCTATCTCGATTCGTTTTGGCTGTTACAAACAACCGTTATGTGAACAAAATTAATATACCCTTGTGCACAAGTGCGCTCGGGTATAAAAATTCCCAAAAATCAGCGCGATTTTTAGAAACTTCAAACTTGCATTTTTTTTTTACTAAAAATGTTGAAAATTTGCATGGAAATTTAATAAATTTTCCCGAGTTTTGCACAAAGTGCAGAAATCGTATTTTTGTGTTTTTTGTTGTAGTATTAAAAACTTTTATAAAAAACTAGCGCAAAAAGAAAGTATAATTTGAAAATTCCTGCATATGTTGTAAAAAAACTCTGTGGGAAAATACCTTTGGCCGTGAGTGTACATACATTTGGGGCATTCCATGTAAAAACGAAAAATTACATAAATTTTAAATTCCCTAACTCAAGTATTTCAGTATTAGATAAGCTATAGCTAAATGTTTGTTGAAAAATATTAAAAAATAAAACAATGCTCATATAATCGAATGGTCGCAACTAAACCAAATTAGTATGGGACCACCTTACCGATAAAAAAAAATATTTATCGAAAACTATTCACGTGGTCCAAAGTTATCCGGTAGCATACATAAGAAAAAATAATATTCCGATGAATTGGTAACTTTCGTCCTTTTTTGAAGTCAGTTAAAAAGCCAACCAAATAATAGCTCCAAAAACTTAAGAAATTGTTTGGTATTTTTTTTAATGAATTTTATACATTAGTTATTTATCTATGAATGTACATTATGGTGCAACACTCTCCACACATAATCAAAAAAAGTTGGTACTGTTTTTTCCATTGGAAATATGAAATCTGTTATATTTAAAGGCGAGCCAAATATTTCCGAGAAAAATTTGGAATAAAGTGAGCTCTACCTATCTGAAAATACCTGAAAAATCGAAGTTTTTATAAATAAAATAAGTTTTTTAGACAATTTTTCCAAAAAAAGATGATAAAAGAGTTTAAGCTTGAAAGATCTGCATAAAAATACTCAAACATTTTATCAACGGAATCAAAGTAATGAGATTTTGGGAGGTATTTTCAGATCGACCTAGCTCGCGTAAATCTTAATTTTTTACCGAAATATTTTAGCCGAAGTCATAAAATATAGTAAATGTTATAAACTTCGTTTTGTGATGCACCCTAATGTACATATGTTACAAAATGTATTTCACTACTACTGTATAAGTTCCAACGAAATAAATAATTATTATTCACAGTTAGTCGAATTCGTGGCGCCAAATATCCGTAACAAAAACATGAGTAGAGATGTACGAGTATTAATGATTATATGGCCAGGTGGTTACTCTCACTAAAAAAAAAAAAATAAATGTTTACAAATATCGACACAAAAACTTTATTTACACAACATCTTAGTGGAAAATTTTCGTAGGTCGTTTATTAAGTTTTGATTTCTAACTGCGTTTTGCAATGGTGTTAGTAATTGTTAAAATAGCTTATAATTTTTACGTTTTCAATGCATTTGGTTTGCTTTTCTGGTAAATTACGAAAACAAAATAATTGAGTAGCGGTCCATTGCATAGAAAATTGAGTGTTTAATAGCCACTTGTATGAGGACGCTTCATCAGCAAACTACTAGTTATTAATTTTGTATTATTAAAATTATTGCGTCGATTAAAAAATGTTTGTACGAGTATTACATCTTTAGTTGGGCTTCAGCTGATGCTTGCTAGCAGGTGGTGCTAAAGTATATAGTTACTAGAGTACTCTTCGATGAAAGATAACTAGATTTGCAACGCAAGAGGTTATAAATATTCAATGCTACGTTCATCCGATCAATCAATTATGACTCAAAGTTCAAGTAAAATATTTTATTATTAAAAAATGCATTTTATAGTAAACATTTTATGGTAAAGTTATACGCAATTTAGTTTTTATTTTATAATCCTACTAATATTATAAATCTGAAAGTTTGTGAGTGTGTGAGTTTGTTTGTTGCTCTTTCACGCTAAAACTGCTACACGTATTTCAATAAGTTTGGTACGTAGATATGCAGGTTACAACCCAGTTGCCTAACGTAAGGCGTTCAAAAACAATTTATTTCAAAACTATCATTTAAAGGTGTTGCCACCTATTCAGATTCAAGTTTAATTGATAAGTTAAACGAAATATTTTTATATTGCTATCAAACGAGAGAGGTTTAAGGAAGCTTTATTTCAAAAATATTTTTAAAGAGAGCTGCCACCTGTTTAAAAATTCCTTATCAATTAATTAACAGTTGGATACGGTTATCATACGAGAGAGCTTTAAGAAAGCTGTATCTACGTACATATGTATTTCGAAAATATTTTGGACGAGTGTTGCCATCAGCTTGAGAATTTATTTATTTA